AAGATGGATCTGCATTGCTCAGATCTGCACTCCCCACATAGAAACCCTGAAAGATCATCTTCACCTGTGAGGCMGATGTTCACCTCTCCTGAAAGGTCTCCTTATGTGCAACAATCTCCAGGTCAAAGACCAATATCTCCTCCACAAGTTGTTCAAGACCCAATGCATTCCCCTAGATCTATTCGCCAGAGATGGTCCCCTTCTCTTGACAGGCAAACCAAGGATGTTAAAAGAACTTCTTCACAAGGTCATTTGTCTCCAGCCAGACAGACTTCTCCTCCACGAAGGCAATCTCAGCATGATTCTCAGAGTAGGGATGACTCTTCTCAGAGGCACCTATCTAGATCACCAAGGAGGCATCATTCACCCTCAGACGATAGAAGACCAGGCAGGTCAGAGTCAGGATCACCCAGTAGGCGAAAAGATTCTTCTGCATGTAGAAGAGACAATCGTGATAGATCTCGGTCAAGGTCCCCTAATATAAGAGACCGTCACAGACGATCACCAAGGTCATCTTTATTTTTCTTACTTTTTTTATTTGGATTGCTCAGTTATGGTCATTTTCATGTATCACCATCTGAACAGTAGACAGGTATGTATGTTCAGTTTCAATATGTTTGACTTCCATTCAATGAAAAGAAAGCATTTAATATTCATAAGATTCTACTTATGTCCCTCATATTGTTATTCACAGAAATGATTAGGTGTTATTGATATCACATTTACTTCATTGTTTCAAGAACTACTAGTCAGAATCCATGTGATGCACGGGCTTAATTTATAAGCAAAATTGAGGATGGAGCTATATAACATTTCCAATTAAGTGGTGCCCATCTAAGTTCAATTCACGTATTATTTTTTGGGTTATGTCTAGTTTATCCAATCAAAATCTAAGTTGCGCTTTAATGAGAGTGGCCAATTTCCTGTTCTCTAGATAAATTTGTATTTTTTTGTATCTCAATGCTAATTTATTTTGCCAGACAACTTTCGAAGAATAATTCTCCCTACTCTTCTTGGACAAAGTAAGGCAAAAAGGCTGAAGTGAAGTAATATTAATGCATTATATCAACATTTTTTATTTGGAATAACAACGAAAGGAAGGTATT